CATAACTTTGCCTACTTTAATACTTATTGTTGATATTGCACTGCAATTTAAGCATTTTTCACTTTTTACGGCGCTTGCAAAAAACAAAAGACTTAAGCAACGAACTTGTTGCGAGGGTTGGCCGAAAACAGGCTGACAATATGCGAACCAAAACCCAATTTGAATATAGCTCTGCCCCAGTGCTGCCCGATAAAATGGCCACCCAGATATTTTTCAGTTCTTCTCAGCTTTAACACATTCAAGCAGCAGCTGCAGTCCGTAGCCCTCCTGTCAGGCAGCCGCAGCAATGGCAGACACCGCTGGCCAACGTTGTAAACGTCAAACTGAAAATCCACTCAAAGTTTTGAAGCGGCCACTGGCTGCAGTAGAAGGAGAAGATGAAGAAAAAATTATTAACTGACATTTTAATGATGATAATGATGATGCCGTTGACGTTGGCGGCGGCGGCGGCTGCTGCTGCTGCTGCAACTGCGTCGGTGGCTAGACATAAAAATGAAACCCTTTCGCCCCACCAAAGCACAGGTAGAGAAAATCATCAACGTTCTTGTTGTTGTGGTTCTTGTTGCTGTTGTTGTTGTTGTGGTTGCTGCTGCTGCTGGTTGTTTGTTGATGTAAGCGGCGTGATTTTTATCAGTTGGAGCCCTTGTGTTTGCCCAACTGGAGCCAGTTTTTATGTATTTTACTTGCCCAAACAAAAATCGAAAGGTTTTAAGATACGTTTTAAAAACGTTTGCATATATCTATATGTGTATAAATATCTATATGCATTTGTGTGTGTGTAAAATGCGTTTTCAATTGCAGTTTTTCAAGTGTGCGCAAATCAATTGGCTATGAATTTTAATTGATTTTTGCCAGACAGCAGCAACAACAACAACCACAAGCTGCAGTTGAAAGTTGTATTTCATTTTCTGTTTCGTTGCGCTTGTAAAGGCTTGCGCTCAAATAAAGCATGAAAATAAGTTTTGCCTGCCACACACACAGGCGCTCACACACACATGCACACACACAGGCAACTGAAGCTGCAGGCGAATCGCGGCTAATTTCAGTAATCTGCAAAGAATGCTGCAAAAGGCACCCACAATTCGCTGCAGAGACTGTTGCAGAGACAGAGCTCAGCCTGAGACGGTCAGGCAGAAAGACGGACAGCGACTGTCCAGACATGTGTGCGTCTGTTTGCAACCTGCTTAATGTCATGCAGCGGCAACAGCAACAGCAACAACAACAGCTATAACAACAACAAACAACAACCATAAGCAACTACAACGCACTGTCACTGTCATGCATCATCATCATTGCAGCCTGGACTGGAGCCGGTTGCTGCTGCTGTTGCTGTTGCTGTGGCTGACTCTGCTGCTGCTGCTGTTTCTGTATTTGAAAATTATTGCATGTCCAGTCTACAGTCTGCAGTCTGCAGTCTGCACTCTGTAGTCTGCAGGCCACAGTCGCAGTCTGAGTCGGAGTCGGAGTCTGAGATTCAGGCTCATGCATGCAAAGCCGAGAAACTGAGAAGGCGAAACACTTGCAGCATTGGCATGGCCAGTGAGTGATGCGATTATCTGCAAGATTCGCTTATCTACGGTGATCCATCAGCTGTGTGGCACTGAGGCACTTGCGAATGTCAGTTGAGTGCCTTACCCCGCCATTGCTGCTGCTGCTCCTGCTGTTGCTGCGTGAAAAAATGCGTGGTCTGCGCGGGCGTCCGCCATATAAATTAGAATGTGCGTTGTTATTTCTTCAGTACCTTTCGTATTTTATTTTCTTCAATATACTTTATATTTATACCTTCTTTTTTTTTTTAATTTACTTGCCGCTCCCACGGTTGAGCAACTGACCAGCACCCGCTAGCAGCGCCTTTTGACTGCTTGCGGTTGCTGCTGCTGTTGGTGCCAGGAAGCGCTGGTGGTACAGTAAACCACAGTGGGTTTTTATTTTTTGTTGACTTTGATTGAAAGTTGACACAGCCAAGCGTTGAAAACCACATCCGTGGTGGGCAGCAGCAGTAGTTGCAGTGGCTGCAGCATCGACCATCAGCAGCAACAACAACAACACCAGCAGCATCGGCTTCATTGCTTGTATGCAAATGCAATTAGTTTTTGATTAAGTCGTAGTCCCCAAAAAGATGGCAGGGCATTCTTCAGCATAGTGTATAGAGTTGGCACAGTGCACCAAAGTACACTTAAGCGCAAAAGCAAAGCGACAGACCGTTAAATTGTTGCAATTACCAAAGCTAGCGTTGAATGTTGCTGTTGCCGCCATGTTTGAGCATGTTGCTGCCGTGCAGCTGTAAAACAATATGCACAGTCTCTTTGTATGGCAGCAATGCCTGTGTGTGTATGTTGTGTGTTTGAGTGGGTGTGTATGTCAGACTCTTGTTGTTTTTGTTGGCTGGGCCAATTGTTTAGCACGCGCTGCTAATTTTGTGCTGCTGTTGCTGCCGTTGTTGCCGCTGCGAGGCAGGCAGCAATTTCTTAGTTGCATGCACGCCTTGTTGATTGTAGTAGGTGGCCTGGTATGGCCTAACTTGGCTTAGCCTAGCCATTGGTCATTACAGCTCCTCTCAGTTCAGAGTGCCGCTCCAGTTTGTAGGGTGACCAAAACCGCGCAATCATGTTAATAACAGCTTGTGTTGCTGACGTTGCCGTTGCCGTTGCCGTTGCTGTTGCTGTTGATGTTGCCTTTGCTGTTGGTCAGTTGCAAGTTCTATGTGTGTAATTTATGCCTGTAACTAATTGCATTTGAAAGTTTAAATGCAAAAGTCAAACGGTTTTCAGATATGCATAAAAATACAATCAACTTAAACGAGTGAAATGCTATATTCTCACAAAGAATCTCCCAGCCGATTTTCACTCTGTGCAACAGCAGTCGGTGCTCATTTGAAATTCCAATTTCAATAACACTCAATGATGTTTATCGGCAGCGCTTTAGTTTTCGTTGTTAATTTATTTCCATTTTTTCTTTCTATTTTTATTTTATTTATTTTTATTTTCCTTTTTTTGAGTAGGCGTTGTCCGCAGCAACAACCACAGCCGCATAGCTTTGCCTTGTACCAATTTACGCACATATAGATGCGCTGGGCCAAGGTTCAGGGCAGGGCAAGGCAGGGCAGGGCAGTTCAATGGCTAGATAACGCCATGGGAGCCATCAGCTTCATTGCGTGCGCTGATGATGCTGCTGCCGGGGCTGTTGCTGCTGCTGTCGTTGTGGGTGCGCGATAAGACAGGCCCCGAACGCGAGTCAGAGCCAGAGTTTATCAGCTTGCGGCACACAGCTGCGACTGAAAATTCAAATGCTGAAAAACTGAGAAATACCGAACATTGAAAATCGTTGCGCTAATAAATTCATGTCGCCGCGAACAGCAATCGGCTCGGTGGCGTGCTGCAACATTGCTGAGATATATGTTTAGAAACAAGTTTTCGGGGCGGCATATTTGTTAAGGTCGCACAGCTGCGACGGCAGCAACTGTTGCTGCGGTAGTCATTCCACATAAATAGCTGCTGCTCATGTGGCACATGGTTTTTGTGCTTTTTTTTCGTATTTTATTTATTATTATTATTATTATTTTTTTTTTTTTGGCTATTTGCTCACCCGCATTGGCAGCAACCGCAACAACATGCCATGTTGCATGCCTAATTGCAACAGGTGGCAAATGCCAGCAGCCGCAGGCACATACACACACATTCACACACACATATACAGTTACTGTTTCAACTTGCGGTTACAAGGGTTGCTGTCGCTGTCGCTCTTGCAGTTGCCGGGGGCACAACGGGCGCAGCAGCTTGTCGCTTTTGCGCCAGCAACAAGCCAATTAGCAGCAGCAGCAACAATAAGCGTTTTCAATTGTCAAACACAAAATGCAAATGCAGCTCAGCTTTTGTTGACAATTCTGCTAAATGATTAGCAAATAATAGCACACATTAAAACAATTGTTAATTGTTTAATGTTTGATGTTGACCAAAAATGGCAACGGCAACAACCAGTAACCAATTTATGTGGTCACTTGGCTCTGGCATTTGATTGGCCTTTGATTTGTTGCTACTGCAGCTCAAATAATTAATGAGTTAAATATTATAATTTATTTAAAACTGGCCACGATCATTAATCAGCCGTGGAACATGACTCTGAAGTTTGCGCTTGGCATTGGGTCGGCTTTTCAGGCTTTTGTTTTCTGTACGGCCACCGTTTTGGGGGTTGTTGCCACGCCCCACTAATTGGCCACTGGCAACTGTTTAACTGTTTTTTTTCTCTACCTTTTTCTATTTTATTTTTGTGGGTGGCAACGCTTTGGTTCTCTACTAATTTTGCATTTATTGCCAAACACACAATCAATCAATTCCCAGCTTTGGTCCAAAACGGCGGCAATGTTGTAATCGCCCCAGCCCATCAAAACGTTGCGCAAATATATGCAGAAAACTTTGTTAATAAATAAAAAATTAATAAAATGTAAAATTCATGAACGGCTCAGAAATCAAAGCCCAAGCCAAAGCCACGCAGTCTGCGTTTAAGTAAAAAAAAATCATAAAAATTTTGCAAATCTTGTATCGAGTTGTATGCGTGTGTGCTCAATATGTAGGCTGGTTGTATGGCATTAATATTTATATTTCGTAGAACCATTCAGTCATAAGTATTTTCGTGCTTGATTAATGATGTTTGGTTTATTTGACCGCGCTGCTTTAATTACTGCGGCAATTAGCAGCTAAACGCAATCAAGTTTTGTCCGCTTGAACGATTTGTCATGAGCATCAGCGAAATGTTAACACATTTCATGTCACACAGAGGCAGCAGGCATGTCTTCATGGCATAAACACAAACATAAACACACGTATATTAAAAATAGAGCTATCTCATAAAGTGCCCATAAAGTGGGCAGCGAGTTGTAAAAGCCATGCGAAAGTTTCTAGAAAGTTTTACCACTATTTTATTGTAAACATTTTTATAGTTCAGCTGAAATTACACATGTAAATGAAACGTTTCTAAAGTTGCCTTCCCACTCTTCCTTTCAGAATATGCCAGAGGCTATTGTAGTAGCAACAACATCCTAACTCAACGAGGTAAGCACATATCAAAAGTTTTAAAGTAGTAGCAGCTATTTTTTTTTTACATTTTTTATTTTGGCTGACAATGGCAACCCTGGCCTGGCCATGCACAGACAACGTTGGCAACCTTCGCAAGCACAAAAACATATATAAATACGAGAGAAAAAAAAAACTGAAACGCATTTTGAATTTAATGCGTGCACTGCAGGAGTATCAAGCAGGCAACTCGGAAGAGGAGAAGGCGTGCAGGCAGCCCGGCAGGCAGGCAGGCAGGCGGAGATCGCATTCGTATCGATCATGTGCGCCTGTCCAGCTTGCAACATTCAAGTGTCGTCTTGTGTTTCGCATGAATTTCGCATTGGCATCGGCAACGGCTTCGGACTGGGGTTGGGGCTTTACGTCCCACCGCTCCCGATCGCTCTGCCTCTCGGTCTGGCAGCAGTCTGAGTTTTGCGACAGCGTCTACGTCTGGGGCAGCTTTTAGTTGCGGGCGTTGCACGGCAGGCGACCTTCTAAGTCGGCCGCTAAGGAATTGCAACTGCCATTGAAAATGAGTGAAGTTGAACATTTTAGACAGATTGCCAAGTTTTGTCATAAAAACGCGGCAACTTCGGAGCTGCAGCTGAAAAAAAACCCCGATGTTGTTGCTTTTTGAAGATTAATTGCTTGCGACAGTTTGCAAACGATGGCGACGTTCAAATTGTAGCAGCAACAGCAACAGCAACGGGCACAGCCACAACAGCTAGCTCTAGCAGCTGCCCCTTCGAGCCATAAAAATTGGCAGTTTGCGGCTAAAATTAACATGACGTCAGTACGCGACGCTGTCAATTGCTTGGCTTAGAGTGCGACCTTTGGCTGGTTGGGCGATTAAGGCCGCAGAAACGCAGCAACTACAACTTAATCTCATTCGTTGGCTCCGCTCTTTTTGCCCGGCAGCTAATTTTTAATTTATTTGTTGAAATTTCTTTTGACACGCCCTAACAAAAGCTACGCTCTTTCGGTGTCATCACAATTGCTGTTGTTTTTGTTGTTGCGGCTGTCGTTTCGTTTAATTTTGAAAATATTTTTTTTTTTTCAAGTTTTTGCAACTGTTTTTTGCTTTGACTTTTGGTGTTTTTTTTTTTTTGGGTGGTCGCTTGGTCGCTTTTATTCAAAATTGTATCTCAAAATGAAATACAGCTTAATTAACAAAAAATCTGAAGAAAACCTGCAGCAGCTCGCAGCTGAAGCGCAGTTCCATTCATACATTCACGCCATTCAGACTCACAAGTGATATTCAGTGCGTATTTTCAGATTTATGTTGACTAATTTGTCATAATATTGTTTTCGTAATTGAGTGAGTTGAACCCGAGATTTCGATAACAGATCGTGCAACAGTAAAAGAAACGCGTCGCACAAACGACATAAATTACAACAAATCAATGTTAATCAATTAACACCTGCGAATGCTCGATACAATCGATCTAGCAGCAGGAGCAGCCACGAGGCGCATAAATTAAGTTTTCCGTCTTTATGGTCTCCTCATTGGAAATCGGTAAACAAACACTGAAATTAGCATATCAAATACAACATAATTGCGCGATAATAACCAAGCAACATGAAAATGAAACCTGTTCTAACAAACGTCTATTAATTGATCTTCAGTTCATTGTCTTAGTATTTTTGTTAACAACTATGCCATTACTCATAACTATTTTTGACAAACATAACTGTGTTCTTTTCAAAAATGTTGAGAAACTCATTAGCCAAGCAGAAGATCCTTCGAACATTTACTCTAATTGCAAAGCCTAATGCGTTTTGCGCGCGTTTCACGTGTGTCTTTTGACGCCTGGTCGCGTGGAAAGCGGCCTGGCAGAGGCCAGCCCTGCCCCTAACTGCTGTAATGCAAAGTGACAGCGACAGCGGCTTGTTGGCAATCAAAATGCAGCATAAAACATGTGCAATAGTTGGGAATATGCGTTAAGTGTTGTTGTTCTTGTTGTCGATTGCCGGTTGTTGTTGCAGCTCTGCACCTGGCAGGCGCAACTGCAACGCAAATTGAAAGAACTTGTTGGCTGTTTTGCCTGCCTGCTGCACGCAGTCGTCGACAAGCAAATTGAAAGCTTTAGCTTTGCACTTGCTTTGCGGTCAAAACCAAATACGCCAACAACAGCGACAACTGCAACAACAGCAACACTAGCACTAGTAACAGCAGCAACAGAGCCTTTGCCAGTGCCAGCGCACGCTTGTGGTGCTGATGGTGGTGGCGGTGGTGGTGCCTGTTGGTGGTTACAACTATTGATTACAAGTTGCCAATCGCTGGGTCTCACATTACCCAATACAACAAACAGGCAACATCAACAGCAACAGCAACAGCAACGGCAACAACAGTAAAAGCTATGGCAGCGACCTCGATGCGGGTGTTGCAGACAGACGCAGACAGGCTCCAATAACAGCCAGCAACAACATCGAATGGAGGCTGTAATTAATGCGGGAGCCTGTGCTGACATTTTGAGAAATTTATTGCTCCAAGTGGATTTATAGTCTGCGACATTTTATAGTTTTGCCTTGCGGTCGTTTCGATCGATCGAACGAGTAATGTTGCCAGCAACATGTTGCCCGTTGCTGCTGTTGGTGGGAACTGCTGCAGGAGCAGCAGCAACCCTTTAATGCGCATCATGTGCGCGCGCGCATATATAATTTGGCTACCCGATAATGATCGGCCTTTGGCATAATAAATTTACAGCAATGCCGCAAAACGTTGTGGCAGACTTTCAACACCAAATTGCTGGCGGAGTTGGAATCATCCTTAAAGGTACCGATAGCCGGTCGAGAGCCAAGTGCCGAGTGCCGAGTACCGAGTATCGAAGTACCGAAACACCGAAGTTCCGAGTACCTGTAGTATCGGATTGTATCTGTACCCTGCAATCTATATTAATTTTTATATAGCCTGAGACCTGGCTGCCCAGTGCCAGTCACGCTGCACTTTCATAAATGCCAAAAATTTCACCTGCTTTCACAAAGATGATTAAAAATAAATATGCAACGAAGTCGTCGACGTTGCCGTTGCCGTTGACTGCCCCGAAACGAGTGCAGTTCTGTGGCCGCCGCGCTGCATGATATACGATAATTTCGTTCTGATAATGTGACGGACAGCGGGCGAATGCCTCAGCATCAGCATCAGCCTTAGCGTCAGCCTCAATGGTGCCTCAGCTGACCCAGATGGCAATGCGTGAGTGTTGAGCCAAAAATCGTTTAAGGCTAATTGCAAAGATCGCTTTCGGTTGATAAACGAGCAGCGGCGGGCCAGCGAACCGAGCGGGCGAACGGTGGGGGTAGGGTGGGTAGGGTGAAACGGTTTGGTCAGGGATTGAGATGCCTCTCGGCTCTGACCCAAAACCTTTACGAGCCAGCCAAACACAAAAGCCAAACACAGCTAAACAAATACGAAACGCGTAGTTAATGATGATTGCCGGCCCCCAAAGGTTAAAATTAAATAATTTTTAACTTGCTTCCAAGTCTCGTCAGACCCAGCTCAAAATGGCGGGCGGAACGCTATCCAAAAAGCAACCATTCATTCATTCATTTGCCTAGCCATATAATTAGCATGAAATGAGTAGGATTTGAAGATTTTTAGTTAAATATTTTAAGAGCTCGCTTTTTCGCTTCTGGCAATCGTTTCTGTGGTCTATGTTAATTTTTTGGCGCTTTGGCAATTAAGCAGAAAATCGTGTAGCTAATTATGATAAACATTTAGAGAAGGAGGAGGAGGAATAAATGCCGAGAAATATGTGTACAAAAAATGGCAACAGGAAGTAGAAGGTCAAATTAATTGAAATGCTAATACAACAACAAGAGAAAGAAAGTTATATTTAGAAATGCTAGACAGCTATCAACGTTTAATGTTTCAAGTTTTCAATTATTTTTATAAGAATATTTCTATGGGATATAGAAAAACCTAAGAGCAGATAATTTGCTGCGTTCCAGTTACCCAAAAGGGGGAGTCCTCGACAAAGATCGTTTATCCTGGCCCCTCGATTAAGGTCTATGAATCATCTTTTGTAATTTCGAAATGTTTTCAGTTGCTACCACATTTATGAGGCATTTAACTGGCTTAGTTCCTAGAGACGAGTTTTTGCCGATCTTACAGCCATTAAATGCTTGCAAACCGGTTCGAATTTAACCCTGGCCAGAACTGGCAGCTCCTTTGGCCCATTTTATTCTCATTTGGGCGACCGCAGGCGCCGCAGTTACCTTAGTACAGCCAGACGGCTGCTGGTTGGTTTCTCGTCGATAAGGCGGCAATGGTTTAATTTAGCTGAACAGCCGATCAAAAGGTAACTACAAAAAAACTGCAACGGCAGCAGATGACGACAGGATCGTTGGGCCCGGCCCACGTGCAACTGCAACTGCAGCAGCAGCAGCAGCAGCGTCAGCAACAGCAACAAAAACAAATGTGTCTGTATATCGTAACTAAATTGACTTTGATCACGCGATCGCCCGGCCTTTGTGGCAAACGGAAGTATGCTAAGCAACTTGTTGCTGCCACGCCGGCAACTTCTAGCAGCAGCGGCAGCACCACTGGCAGAGGCAGAGGCAGCGGTAGCGGCAGCTGAAGGTGTATATTGCAAAAATAATTACATTTGATTGTAAAAGGCCAGCGTCTAGGCCGGCGACTCGGACTTGGACTCGGGCTTGGACACGGACACGGACGCGGACTCGGAGCCGGGGCACAGCTAAAGAAAAATGTGCAACATGATTGCAGTTTACAGCGATGGAGAGTCGAAGCAACACCGGCAGCAGCAACAGAAAACCAACAGATAAAATGCATTTACAATTGAATTTGAATGTAATTTTATTTAAGCTGCGGTCAGCCAGGGGCGAGAGTGTGTGTGTGTGTGTATGTGTGCTGGGTGTTGCTCTTGCACGGCAGCAACAATTGGCCAAGTGGCAGGAAATTGCCATTATCTGGCATTATCCACTTGTGCAACGGTAGCATTAGCTGCTCCAGCAGCAGCAGCCGATGCAGGCGGCGT